AGCGTTGGAGATCGAAAGGTCGCTGTCATCGACACTCCGGGGCTGTTTGACACTAATTTCACCCAAGAAGAAGTGTTGAAGAGGATCAAGATGTGCATCTCTCTGTCTGCTCCTGGTCCTCACGCCTTCCTGATAGTTCTGCAGCTGACCAGATTCACCAAGGAGGAGAACGAAACTGTGAAGATGATTCAGACCACTTTTGGTGAGGAGGCAGCTAAATACACAATAGTGTTGTTCACACACGGAGACCAGCTGAAGACGCAAACCATTGAGGATTATATTTCAGCGAGTGCTGACCTGAAAGCCTTCCTTCGGCAGTGCTATAATCGATACCACGTCTTTAATAACGAAGTCAAAGACCCTGTACAAACCAGTCAGCTCCTGGACAAAATTGACAAGATGATTATGGCTAACGGTGGAAGCTACTACACCAACGAAATGTTCATGAGAGCAGAGGAAGCCATAGAAAAGGAGAAAAAGCGACTCCTGAAGGAGTTGGAAGCACAGAAGCAGAGAGAGCTGGATAAACTGAGAGCCAAATATTTAGAGCAGGATTTGAGAAGGGAGGAGTCACGGCTGCAGAGGAGATATGAGAATGAAGCAAGAGCTCAAGCTGAAAGATCTAATGAGTTTGTCGCCGCTCCGGTAATAGCTATAGCAACAGCCTGTGGTGCTGCTGTCGGAGGTCTGATCGGAGTTGCAGGAGGTCCAATCGGCATGGTAGTTGGAGTCGCAGCTGGAGCCGCTGTTGGAGCTGCCGTGGGTGCTTTATCACTGAGAGTCTCAGAGCATTGCCATGTGCAATAAGGACAGTACAACTTACAGATAAATGTTTATATTTAATTGATTTCTTGAAAAAATATAGTCCTCTACTCTAGTGTACCATTGCTTCTTAGTAAACTCTTTGCATAAATAATTTGCATTAAAGATGATTAATAATCACTTTTTGTCAATAATTGAAATATTTTGTACCTGAAATAGAGCTAATCGACTTGTATTACTATGCATCATTAACAGTGTCTTGACTGTATAATATTTGTATAACATAATAAAAATCATTGATGTACTTTTCATGATGGATTATGACTGAATTATCATCATTTGGATTCTGTGCATTTGCATTTGATGTGTATATGAAGGAGGAGAAACAGATCATTTCCATCTTTTTGTAAAACGTTACTTAGACAGGAATAAATGCATTTGTTGGGGACTTTTTTCAGTGGATGATTATTCCACATTTGGTGCTCTAGTGAGTATTTGGGGCAGCAGGGTGTATGTGGGATAGTTCAGTTATTTATTGTTTGGCCAACATGAGTTCCATTTTGTCCAGACTGGACCGTTAGTAGCAGTCTAAGCTGGGCCAACATGGCTCCTGACCAGTTCTCTTTCCTCTCCTCTGAGCAATCACAGCACCACCATGGTACCTGGTTCGGTTGATCTGGCTGGTGGATTGGCTAAGGTCCACTGCTCTTTAATCCAAAACCATGTCTTTCTTTTCCAATTAGCATATTTCTGTCATAGGTAGCACAATAAAAGTGTAGCAAAGTTTGAACGCGCTACCGGCTGCTGCATCTACATGGGCTGCTCGTTGCCATAGCAATTTGCAATTTGGTTAGGGTTAAGCAGCGGCGTCGTTAGCCCTGGGCATCCACAGATGTTTTTTGAAAAGCCCTGGATCTCAGAAGTATTTTTATAAAACAAACAACAAAAGGCTGAAAATTGAACTAACTAATGTTACGTGCACAGGAGCGAGCGAGAGAGAGATTATTGTTATTATTTATTCTCCTGCAAATTAGCGGAGAATAAGATAATACAGCTGTAGCTCTGTGTCTGCCCTCTCTGCTCCACCTGAAGTTTTATTTCACAATGCCTTCCTGGCTCAGGCAATTTCGGAGCTGGCTCATATAGGAGGCGGTTTACTAAGAGACCAGTCACTCACTCACACTCTCTGCATCAGTCGCGGACAAAATGTAGCCGATAGAAATGTTGAGGGAGGAAAAAAGAAGTTGCTGAGGCCGGTGCAGCTTCTTCTTTTGTGCTTTCATAAGCCGGCAAGTGAAATACTTTCACTTTCCATTAATGATGCATTAAAAGTGTCTCTGCAGAGCAAATGAAGACGACTACACACTGTAAGATCTATGTCATGATCACTGCATTGATTGAGATTTTTAAAATATATTAAAAGTGTCCTGTTGTTGAACAGAGCATCACTTTGGACATAAGCCTGTTTCTTTTATTCAATTATTATGTGAAGATATGAAGTTTTATGAGCTGGGCTAAGCCCCCAATGTTTCAAGATCCTAAAAATGCCCCTGGGTTTAGGCAACAAAACCACTGGGTTAGGTTTAGGTAATACAACTACTCGGTTAGTTTTAGGCAATAAGGCGACTCGGTTAGGTTTAGACAACGAGACCACTCGGTTAAGTTTAGGCAATACAACTACTTTGTTAGGTTTAGACAACAAGACCACTTGGTTAGGTTTCAGTTAGGTTTAGGCAACAAGACCACTCGGTTAAGTTTAGGTAATACAACTACTCTGTTAGGTTTAGACAATAGGACCACTTGGTTAGGTATAGGCAACAAAACCACTTGGTTAGGTTTCAGTTAGGTTTAAGCAACAAACCACTCAGTTAGGTTTAGGTAATACAACTATTCGGTTAGGTTTAGGCAACAAGACCACTCGGTGAAGTTTAGGCAGTACAAATACTCGGTTAGGTTTAGGCAACAAAACCACTTGGTTAGGTTTCAGTTAGGTTTAAGCAACAAAACCACTCAGTTAGGTTTAGGTAATACAACTATTCGGTTAGGTTTAGGCAACAAGACCACTCGGTGAAGTTTAGGCAGTACAAATACTCGGTTAGGTTTAGGCAACAAAACCACTTGGTTAGGTTTAGGTAATACAACTATTCGGTTAGGTTTAGGCAACAGACCACTCAGTTAGGTTTAGGAAAAGATTGTGGTTTGGGTTAAAATACGTTTGTTACGTTAAGTCACGTGACATTTACCATGTGACTTAACTCATGTGACATAAGTGGGTAATGCTATTTAACTTAAAACTTTACATTACTCAACATTTACTTGGTCTCCTGTGTGAAAGTCCTGGGTTTGACCCATTCTTTCACCCCATGCATCTACTTAAGCTATTTCTCGCTCTTTATAAGATGTCACCTGACTTCCAATTTGCCAACTTTTCTGCACTATATTTAGAATGAGCCACTTATATCTACTAAACCGCGGGCACCCCCTTCCATGGAGTAGCAGTATTGTGTCTTCATGTTTCTATGATAGCTGACAATGGACAAACAGCGTTACAGAGCGTGTTTCGTCATCACGGCGTTCTTCTGCTTGTATAATTCCAGCAGTGTAGACGCCCGTCACTACCTTAAATGCGTCCGTAGAAGAAGAAGAGGAAATAATATAATCCATCCATCGTCAACCGCTTATCCTGCATACAGGATCTTGTATGCAGCCAATCCCAGCTGACATCGGGCGAAAGGTGGGGTACACCCTGGACAGGTCGCCAGTCCATCGCAGGGCCACACAACCTCACACTCACACTAAGGACAATTTAGGGTCGCCAATTAACCTATCCACGTCTTTGGATAGTGGGAGGAAGCCAGAGAGAACCCACGCAGACACGGGGAACATGCAAACTCCACACAGAAAGGCCGGGGCAACCGGGGTTTGAATCCATGACCTTCTTGCTGTGAGGCGACAGTGCTAACCCACACAGTCTCTGATTACTCCTCTGGTTTATTAGAAGTTAGAAGAGAAGTGACATTTGGACAAATGAACGAGCACACGTGTAATTTTACACGAGAGCCGACAGCATGTGGATCTTAATAGATGAAGCCAGATGGAGTTGGGACAGATACAGAGAGCTGACGGCAAAAAAATCACGGACATGATCGGTGTGGATTTTCCCAGATGGAAGGCTACAATATGGGACAGATGTTTTCAAAGCGGAGCTTAAGTTTTTAATTGAGGTTGTCAGACTTTAGCGACGCAAATGAAAGCTGCTGTTTTATAGCTTTAGCTAGAAGCTAATCATAATCAATGACAGACCTGGCGTGTTTCTCCTTTCAGTGGTGTAAAATATGTAACATTAGTTGGATTCATTTAATGGAGCCTTGTTATTCTCCAGTGCTGTGGTTTGGCTTTTCCGGTCACGTTAGCTAGACAATCAGCTGATCAGTAAAGTTAGTTGGCAATAAAACAGTAACGTTAGCTCACAGCATGGAAGCGATCAGCCAGCTAACCTATTACTGCTCTGGTAGAAAAAACATGTAGTTGGATTAATTTCATGCAGTTATTCTCCAGCGCTGTACTTTGGCTTGTGGTGTAAAATATATAGTTTGATTAATTTCATGTAGTGACTCTCTGTCTCCAGTGCTCTGTTTTGGCTTTGTCACTACTTTGTGAGACAATCAGCTGATCGTTAATTGGCAATCAATCAGCTGATCACTAATTGGCAATAACAGGTAGCTTCCAGCATGAAAGCTCAGATCAGCCAGCTAAACTTTTACTGCCTGGTAGAAATAATATGTTGTTGGATTGTAATTTAATGTAGTTATTCTACAGCGCTCTGTTATGGCTTTGCAAGGTGGACAGAAATGTGCCGTTACCTTCCTGAGACAAACAGATGATGAATATTATTGGCAATATAACGGTAACAGCATGGAAGCTCAGATCACCAGCTAAACCTCTGTTTATACTGCCCTGTTGGAAAAGGTATTTACTTAACTGCTAATAGTGACACATATCATGACTGTGTGCCTATCAATGACCAATAATTAATACTTTCCGAATATGCATTAAAAAAGGTGTTTTTTGGATAGTGCCACTGTGCACGCAAATATGTAATTTGTACTTTCACATGCTAAATACCCATTAAAAACGTTGCACCATTTTACCACAAGCTGAAATTATGGCTGTCAGTACTACTTTGTGTTTCTGTTGTTTTCAAAAATTAAAAAGACATTTTGGTAAGATTTGCAGAGTGCTTATCTAATTAAGCAAAGTGAGAGGAGCCTTGATCCTCACCAGCCAATGCCTTTGTAAACTTCATGTATTATGTTGCCATATTTTATCTCAACAGTATCTCGGAAGCAGATGAAAAGTGATGAACTCCGAATAATTTTGGTGGGGAAGACAGGAGCGGGGAAGAGTGCCGCAGGAAACACCATCTTGGGGAGCGAAGTGTTTCAGTCACAACTGTCTGCTGCTTCCTGGACATTTCAATGCAAGAGGGCTGAGGGAGAGGTTAGAGGTCGAAATGTCACCGTCATCGACACTCCGGGGCTGTGTGACACAAATTTCACCCATGAAGAAGTGTTGGAGAAGATTGAGCAGTGTATTTCTCTGTCTGCCCCTGGTCCTCATGCCTTCCTTGTGGTTCTGAGGCTCGGCAGGTTCACCCAGGAGGAGAAAGACACCCTGAGGATGATTCAAAGCACTTTTGGTGAAGAGGCAGCTAAATACTCACTAGTGTTGTTCACACATGGAGACAAACTAAAGAAACAAACTATTGAAAGCTTTGTTTCAAAGAGTGAAGAACTCAAAGAGTTCATTCAGGAATGCTATGGGAGATATCACGTCTTCAACAACCAGGTGAAAGACCAGGAACAGATTGACCAGCTACTGGAGAAAATTGACAGAATGACTCTGGACAATGGCGGAGGGCACTACACTGCACGGTTGTTCACAAAAGCAAAAAGGCCTCAAAGAAAGAGAAACGAAGACTTTCAAAGGAGCAGAAGGGCAGAGCGGGAGAGGAAGAGCACCCTGAAGGCTAAAGTTAAGAGCGAAATGAATTTAACAGGAGGGTCAACTAAACGCAGTAAATGTATTCTGCAGTAGGTGATGGAGGTGTTCTTCAGAAGCAGTGGAATTTGTGAAGCATGTTGTGATGCTCTGATAATTATGGATTAATGATATGATGCATTTTGTAGTGCCTATACAGATACTTTCATTTTGTGTCAAAAGTTTAGCACATTGGAGTCTGTTTGAGCCAAACAGTTGTAAAATACTTTATTCCAAAATTGCCTCCTCTGCCTGGGCTGCTTCTAGTAAGACTGTCCATGTGATGCTGGATGGGTCAAGTTCCTCCAGACCAAAAAGGGAAAAACTTTCTTTAAGGGGCTGCTTTATGCATGTAGACATAGTCATGTTGAAACAGGAGAGGGACAAAGACAAACTGTTGACACACAGGTGGAACAACCTGTATATATTGTACATGTTAATTATTTGTTTACATGTAGGCGTATTGTATAGAGATTTTCAGGTACAAAACTGCAGGAATGGTGTTGATTTGGATATCAGGATGGTGTCTTGAACTCTTTTTGTTGACTAGGATTGGATGCATTTGATGCAGGTGGTGGAATATTATTTTTGTTAGACAGTCCACGTGTGTTAGCCCTGAGGCAGCTGTACTCTTCCTCTTGCGCAGTGCATGCTGGGATACATTCCATCCCCCCATGGCGCTGAACAGGATCAGCAGATAGATAGAATTGACTGATGGGTGGCCACATGGTAACTTGGAGTAAATCTGTTAAGCTTGACAAATGTACACCACAAAAGTACTTTAAAACCTCAAAAAAAAGCCTAGTCCCAATCAGACGCCTGTCCGTTTTACTGGTCTGGTGTGGCTACAAGTTTTTATAAATAAACACAGGTCTCAATTAGATGGCTGCTCTGTTTTTTATGTATTAAACCTCACTGGGTCGCTGCTTAGATTGTGCATACCAATATAAATGTTTAAACCTTTGCCAGTATGAGAATGCTGTACGTCGTTAGATCATTTAGATTCTCCACTTTTCAATCGTTTAGTTCATTTCTCTGAAACAATAAGCTTCAAAGTATTATTCATTAAGATTTACCGGTGTGGTAAAGGAATTAAAGGCCTGTCCCAAATAATGGCATGGTGAGTTCAGTGAAGCTACGGCTTATTAATTGAAGTTTTATAGTATATTTATATTTATCATGACTTAGTGTGCTGTATACATATGTATAAACAGGGAAAACAGGTAGTTTTAGAGCAATTTTAATTCAAATTTATAATATTCAAAATGTATCCAGTGAAGTGGAGCCCGATGATTTCCTACTCAAGTGTATTCATGTGCCAATATTCTACATTTAGCTACAGTTCAGCTGTATATTTCACTCTGGTGAAAACAGACACACCTCTTCAGACAGCTCAGTTCACATATCAAACAACAACTCCAATGACAAATAAACATACTTCCAAGCAACTATTTAATGTCCTGTCCTGCTTTTAGTTTCTGACATGAGATGATGAATCATTTCCAAGCAAACAGATGAATTCAGTCTATTAAGGTGAACATTAGCCTAAGGCTAACTCTGGTGTAATGCATCAAAAGTTACATTTATGTTATTAATTGCACATGGTCCCTTCTAAATAAAAATCAATCAACAACAGTGCCACCCAGTGATTGTGTCCTTTATTGCACATTTTGCTTGTTGCTCACATATAAAATACAGACCTCATTTGTTACAAAAGTTCTTGGAACCATAAGTGACAGAAAATGTATTTTAATTATGTGACTTCAGGCATCATTTAAATCACAATTTTGACAAACCAATACTATTTATGCGTTATACCTATAGATACTCTCAAAGAAACTTAAGAATACTCTTTTAATTTCTCTTTTTTCTTTTCTGAAATAAGATTGGTAAAGGGAAGGGAAAAAGCTTGATCATTTAAGTTAGCTGCAGTCAAAAGGTTTTTCCATCTACTGATGACATTTCGTCTGTGCTCCTGTTTACTGGAGAAATGCCCAA